GGTTTTGAACGGGCCAGACCCTACCCCCGCCGGACCCCGCACGACCGCGGCGGCGCAGGGCCTGCCACCGGCGAACGGCGCGGCGCATCTGCCGGAGCGGGCGTGTAGAGCCCCTCTAGTGGGCGATGGCGCGCTGTCGAGTGTCTGGAGACACCCCCGGCCACAGGGCGCCGGCGTCCGCGAGGATGTGCGTGCGCGTGGTGAAGCCGATGGTGCTGCGCCACAGGATAGCGACTCTGAGGAAGGACTGGTCGCGATGAGTGGCGCTTGGAGCTTTAGGGTGTGGGATTCCCCAGCACGCGTTTGTACAGCCTGACTTTGGGGGATTCATGTTGTGATCACATAATGCCATCGAGACCCACCTCCGGATGCTCATGCGCCACCGCCATCGTTGCCCTACCGTGGAGACGCGGGATGGCACTGGGCAAAGACGCGTCGGGAGTTGTTGCGGCGCCGACGACGGACTCACAATAGGCCGCCAGGTTTGAATGTCCACTCGGCTCATGAGAGCATTCAAACGATGATCGGATGAATACATACATACTTGCCCTGGGCGCCGAGTGTAGACTTGTGCACGTGACTTAACGCCTGGCGCCCGACGCGATGGTAACGCCATGGCGCAAGAATTGCAGCGCGACCCATGGTCTCCCTCACAAGCTCGCGCGCACCGCCGGTAAAGGCATCGCACGCCTCTTCCTCATGTCTCTCACATACGCTACCGAGAGGCAGGTCGCCGTCGCCGCCGTACGGCGGGCCTGTGCCCTCACCTCGTCCGTATTCAACAAGCTCGTCAGAAACGAGACGCTGACAAAGGACGATAAGAGCCCGGTCACAGGTAAGCCGCGTTCCGCCTGCTCCGACGTACGCGGGCGGTCCTTGGGGCGCGCTGCTGATTCCAGAGGCCCGCGACTGACCGCGTCTGCCGTTCGCAGTTGGCGATTTCTCGGCGCAAGCGGTGATCAACACGATCCTCGGGCGCGCCTTCCCCTCGGACGCCATCGTCGGCGAGGAGGACTCGGCAGACCTGCGCGCCCCCTCGGGCGAGGCTCTGCGGAGCCGCGTAGTCGCGCTCGCACACGACGCGCTCACATCAGAGCTCGAGCCCGGAGAACAAGAAGCATGGGGGATCGGCCCAGCCCACTCACACACCGCGGACGAGCTCATGGACGCGATCGACCGCGGCAGCCACCCCGGCGGTCGCGCAGGACGTGCGCGCGCTTCCTCTATACGTGCTCTGCCCCGGACTGACTCTATGCGCCGTGCGCGCCGTGCAGGGATGTGGACGCTGGACCCGATCGACGGCACGAAGGGCTTCTTGCGGGGCGAGCAGTACGCGGTCTGCCTCGCGCTCGTCGTCGACGCGCGTGTCGAGCTCGGCGTCATCGGCTGCCCGAACTTGCCCGCCTCTTCCTCCTCCTCCTCCGACGCGGCCGCCCCGCGCGGGTGCATCGTCGTCGCCGTGCGCGGACACGGCGCGCACCAGCTCCCGCTCGCCGCGCCGCTCTCTGCTGCGGGCACGCGGCTCGCGATCCCCACGCTCGGCGCGGCGGAGCTGAGCCTGCTGGAGAGCGTCGAGAAGGCGCACGCGAAGCTGTCGTTCAACGCGCGCGTCGCGCGGGTGCTGGGCGTCACGCGCCCGCCGACGCGGATGGACAGCCAGGCGAAGTATGCCGCGCTCGCGCGGGGGGACGGCGGGGTGTACCTCCGCATGCCGACGGGCACGGGGTACCGCGAGAAGATCTGGGTGAGTGCGCGCGCGTGTTTGCGTCTGGGCTGTGCGTGTCTCTTACGGGTCTGTGCAGGACCACGCGCCTGGGTCGGTGTTGATTGAGGAGGCGGGTGGTGTGGTCACCGATTCGCGCGGGCAGCCCCTAGATTTTGGCTTGGGCAGGACGCTGGGGGAAAACTTTGGGGTGGTAGCTGCGGGAAAGGAGGTGCACTCGAAGGTGTTGGAGGCCATCCGTGTCGCTCAAGAAGAGGAGGCACGAGAAGAGGCGCAGGAGCAAAAGCTGTAATAATGAGTCGTGGCGGCGTATCAGAAATTTTGTGACTAAACGCACGTGTTGTCCAGGCTGATGTCGTGTAACGCAGGCCGGATAATGAAATGTCTTGCAGCTATTTGCGGTTTTACGTGACCGCCTATTGCGTCATTCTCATTCGCCGTCTGAAGTTAGTATACATGACTCATGTCTTCCAAGCTTGCCTGTCTAATCCTTATTCCACTCCTGCTCCGCACCAATTTCGCTTTGGGCTATACCGCCGTGAAGCATTGATTCATATGCTGGTGTGCCCATGATTTGATGCTGAGGCTATGAGAACTACTGAATAGGTTGCGAAGATGGATCCACATCGCGAACGCCATTTGGCACATGTGGTGGACTACGCCACTCTACTTACCTCAGGGCCCGCTCCTCGACCGACCCACCGTGGCTCTGGATCACTCCGAATGCGATTCCTGCCGTGGGTGTTGAGTCTCAACTCCAGCGCGGCGGATGACGACCCGATAAACAGATGGGCACCGGACTGCTCACAGATCAGAGGGTCGTTGCGTCTCAACAGAACAGCTCATCCGTTTCGCGGAAGTTGACAATTGTGATAGTAGTTTGGTGTGGTTTTGGCAAAGTCCAGAGCTCACTGGGTTCTCTTCCATGGATCGATATCATACAGAAGCTCGCGGTTCATGACCGCCTTGTTGTTCAGAAGTCCCCAAAACGCCTTGCAGTGCGGGACCGAAAAGGGTTCCGAGGCTCCTCGTGGTCGACATCGATTGACCACGCGACTTTGTACTGTTTTCAAATGCACCTTGAGCACACATGTTGACACCGTTCCTCTCGGATCCCAACCATTCGCGAATTGAATAGACGGTTTTGTCCACCTCGTCCACCTTCCACCTGGATGGGCTCACTTTTATGCCGTGGCATGAAACGTCTGCGCGCATCTCGGTGTTATAGCGGCCAAACTCTGATCGGTTGGAAGGAGGTGGCTAGAAGAGGCGTCGTCACCGCGAACCGATTCCTGGCGCATCTTGACGTAAAGGCTCAGCGCTCAGACCGCAGGATCAGGTGCGTCCGCAGAATTTGCAGAAAATCTTGCACATGTTGCTCGGGTCAGAGTGGCTTTGACAAAGACAGTGGCAGGCTGTGTAGACAGATGGTTTGTATATGCAATTGTAGTCCGTCGGGAAGGAGCACTGATGGACGATTTTGCTTTCCACTCCAGGCGAGGACGAGATCCCTCACTGACTCCGAGCTCGACTGACGTTTGTTTGAGCTATGCTCGAGGTCATATCCCTCTGCCTTGCTTCCGGAGGTCGGCTGCATGCTGCATAGATCTTGTGGATGATCCGTTCTAATAAACACTGTCAGACAAGTCGGGCTAACTAGAATAGGAAAGCCTGATCGCATCTACGTTCTTGGCAGTAGAATGATGCAGTACTTCGACTGCTCGGCTAGCCATCTGCCCAGTTTTCAGCAGCTTTCTTGAATTGGCTCCCACTGAGTTCTATCTCCAGGAAGAGGTGGAGGCAGGCTGCATCAGTCTCAGGAGAATGCGCGGGGGCGAGTGCAACGTGATGCCGGCGGAGGGTGCCGATGCCGGAGGAAGTAAGTTCTGATCGATGCCGCTCGCTGGCAATAGCCAGGCCTGTGCGTCCCAATAACGCCTCATGGCATAAATACACATCCCCCCTCCCGACCATGTCTTCGTGTTCCCGCCATCCTACGCCCTGCGCATCCTTCTCAGCACCCCCTCTACCAACGCTCTCGTCGCCGGGAACGTCCATGAGCAGTCATGGAATACAATAGCACACTGGGTGCCGCGTTTCTGGGCCAGTTCGCTGCGGCCATGTGAGTGTATATCTTTTCATCCGCATTGCGAGCCGTGCTTGACCGAAGCCGACCCAAAGCTTGTATGGCATAACTAGCTTGCAGACACTCACTTACTACAAGTTGCATGGACGGGATCCGCAACTCCTGCGATACCTGGTGCGTCCGCTATGCTACTACGTGATGGCGCTTTCGGAGCTCATCATCATGACGTTACAGGTTTTTGTCATATGGTAGTCCCTGGTTTCAGATTCCACAGCGTCTTGCTGATCGCCCTTATTCCGGACAGGATCCTCGACAGTCTTCACATCGCGTTGATCACGTATTCGCTGTACTACTACGTCGTTTTGAAATTTGGAGATCCGCTGGCCATTTTGGAACCTAGCTGGTATGATGGAACAATTATTCACGGTTGCATCATAATGACAAGGACCATCTCGTTTTATTCGCTTTTCCAGGGGTATTATGGTACGTGTTCTTGGCTTAATGTCATTCGGTCAATCATTGAATTTCGCATCACTACCTGCAAGGCCATGATCATGGTTTCGGTTCGTGGCTTTTTCGCATATATGCATGCTGAGAGGCAAGACTGACACCAAACAGAATGTCAGCAACAGTATCGTCCGGGGGTGAGTGAAGGCTTTGCTTGTGCAAACTCACCTGCTGAATTTCGACTGTAGGGTCTTCAGCCATCGGTTATGGAAACGTGCGTTTTGTGCGACTATATGCTTTATCGGTACCGACGTACACTACATCCAGTGAGCAGAGCCATGATCTTGCCGCTGTTGATCGTGAGTGCCGAATGCTTTTGCTGCCAAGCTGTATTTAACTATATGTGGCGATGAAGGGTGTCCTCTCCTTGTATATTGCTGGTTGGTCCGACTCTGTTGATGATGTCGCATCACCGTGCTTATATTTTCATCGCTCGTCTAGCGGATGGTTTCTGTGAGTTTGCATTGTATGACAATTCATTATATGGAACACTGACGAGTCTTATAGACTTTGCGATCCGGGGGTTGGCGCATATTCTCTTCATCGAGTGTTTTGACCTGAATCACCGTGTCCAGGTTGCAAATCAAGTCGTACTACGACATTCATCACTTTTCAGTGCGTACGTATATAATATGTATGGATCCCACCATTCATCCCACCTTCAACTTGCTGTGTAGTGGAGTTTATATGTCGGCTTTGCGTTTGAGGTCCTCACTGACGGTATGACTACCGTCTCACAATGTCTTCTCCTGCGCCGACTCCGCACCGGGATCAGATGGTATGAGTGACGGCCATACATACACTCTCTTCTGCTTGAACCTAACTACATGATCTCTAGCACGGACTCGGTTATCGCAATTCTGATAGTCTATAGTATCAATACGGGGCTGTTCACGAGGTATGTGCATATTCGATAAGAATTACTTTGAACCAACGTCTGCAATCTAGCATATGCGCCATACTGTGCCTTGCCACGGTAAGAATACCATGTCTTCTCCAGAGAAACGAGCGTTAAATCCCGTTCCCTCGCCCTAGTATATCGTTTTCCCGTACGGATTTATCTATTTTGCGTTTTATTTCATGCTCAGCAAGCGTAAGCGAGAACCCGCCATTCCCTCATCGTCTCCATGGTGCTCACTTCACTCCCACAGTCTATGTCAACTCACTCCTCGCCAATCTAAACGCACGGGCAACGATCCTTGAGCGGATCTCGCCAGCCCCATGCGCGGTGACCCTTGACAAAGGGACAGTGTCGGACAACGTGTCCTCGCCTGACAGCAGCCGTCTCTGGCCGAAATCAGTCCAGGCATGTCATCCCGTCTATTGCTTCGCTGCGCTAAATTTACCTCTCGCCTACGCGACAGTTCACCAGCGTGGTAGACCCGATCTCGCTGACGTCTACTTGTGCGCGAGAATCGATCCCCATGGTAGACTGTGGCGTGGCTGGCTGAGTTTCTGGGAACTCACGCAGTTTTACGGTACAACCGCTTTCTCGGCCTTCCCATACCTACGCTTTGCGCTGCAGTGCAGCCCGCCTGGTCGCGTGGCGACGTACTCTGCTGGCGGAGTCATTGCATGTTGTGCGTGACAGCCCCGCAGAAGACGCTGAGATATTGAAACGGCTGTCCCTCATAGCATCTCACATGTTTACGTCGATTGCCACTCGGAACGTGCCTCTGAGCCTGGGCGGCGCAATGAAGAGATAGTTGGCGAATCACTACTGTATTTGCACTACTTTAATTGGTAGATCTCTGCCTAGTTTCTAATTCTCAGTGATGCCCCTAGTATAACAGGATTGGGACTGTAGGATACCGTGATGCTCGTATCGTGTATGCTGTATTTAGCATCGGACCTTACGACGTCATGCCTTTGTGCTGCAGGAGCGCACAATGCAGAGGTTATTGACTGTATTGATTCTTCGCGGGAACAATGGATACAATCAGATGGCGATCGTACGCCAAGATCTACGTGTGACGACGGGCATACTACTGGCATCCTGCGTGCGTTTCGCACTCAGCGAGCCGATCATTTCGATATATTCTGTACAGGCCTTCAGGATAGATTGCACAAGAATATTACTGGAAGTACCTCCAAGCGGAGGCACACTTCATTGACGCGCCATCATAGATCGGTCGACTTAATTATATCTTCTGTCAACTACTCGTCTATCAATTGTTGCGGTGATCTGTTTAAGTCATGGACGCACCTCTGGAATGCTTGGTAACTCAATAGTGTGTTTGAATATATCACCAACAAGGCACCCCTCAATACGGCTCCAGATTTTCAATTGCGCCCGTAGGCAAATTACAGTCTGCATCGCTCCCGCTATCATTGAGGAACGATGGTCAAGGATATGGTTAAATATTGACATTCCTTCAAGGTTCGATGTTGGGACGGGTAGGAATTATCGCATCACCGAATTCGATGTAAACCTCCAGGTGCGGTCTTGACCTTACCTGCTTCACGGTAAAACTCTGCCCACGAATGGCCGCCGACATCTCTCCCAGGGATTCCGACTAAGTGACGTTTCTCTTCCGCCGGACCGAAGACTAACTTTGAGCCGTTCAAGATGTGCCGATGTGAAGTTTCGCAGGATGACACATGCATTCTCCATCATCGGCGTATCTATGGGAACGGTGAGGTCATCGACCAAGATCAGGCGGAGAGAGAGAACTTGTTGCAAATTTGAGAGGAGAGTGGATATTCGGGAAACTTCGCTAGGAGAGTGGGTATTGAGAGCGAGATGTAATTTGCGTCACGTTGGGCTCACCTGGCGTCAGAGTTCTTTTTGTGAGTCTGTATTATATCCAAGCGATACAGAACAATTCAAAGACGGCCGCATAGAAGTCCCCGTGAAAGCCAGGCCCAGGAATGAAAGTGTGAGCCGCCACGTAGCTCCAGGATATGAAGGCGGACAGGATTAGGTGAGTGACTTGCAGGGCCCGAAATATCAAGCTGACGGCCGGATCATTTACAGGTGAAGCATTGTTTCAAGGAGACGCAGCGTCCGAATATTCATGGACGAGAGCGAGGCATGTAGAGCCTGAAAGCTCATATCTTTTGCCTCACAAACGTTCGTTCATTTCAACTCGAGACCGTACAGGCTCTGGAGCTTCCTCAGGAGCGACGATCATTCCTCTGCATGGACAGGGTTGAGTTACACCAGGTAACCGGAAATCAATGCAGGTCGGCGGACACATAGCGCGAGACTTGGCGAGTTCAATGGCATTCGACCGAAGCGATTGAGTCTCGGTAAGCTGGTGATCCTGAGGCGGTAGAATAAGTAATTCTGTGTCTCTGGGAGCCACGCACGATATGTGAGGCTGCAGGCCAACAGCGCAGGCCAAAGGTGGTCAATGACTTCGTCCCAGAGTTCAGCAGGAATGGTCAGTTCCTTCATCATTTTTGAACATTTTGAAGGCCTGGAGACATGTACGAGTGTAGGGATGGTTGTTGAAATAGAGAGGGCGACGGCGAGTTTGAGTGATGTTGTGTCGAGCCGCCGTCGACCAAAGAGGAAGAATTGCGCCGCGGTGCGCGCTCGAAGTCGTTAATGAATCGCGAGTCACGTGCACATGTCCGGAAAGGGGCGGATTTGGGCGTCTGTTAGGGCTACATAATGCGGGACCGGCTGGACTGGGCGACGACAGGCGACTCACTTGGTCCTCAGCTTTCCCCCAGTGAGTGGCCAGTGTCCGCGCATCTCTCAAATCAGTACAGCTTCGGCAATGTCTCGTCCATTTTCTCCCAGCATATCTGGTATAGCCTATCGTGCCTCTGAGGCGTCCTCGCTGACTGCTGCGCCGATAGGAATTGCCCTGCACGTCGAAAGCGGCGGCGAGCACACCTCTGAGGTATTAACCTACCACAAATCGGGAACTCGTGAGATCACTGTCGGGCGCATGTCCCGGCAGGGCCAGCGCAGGAGCGCATCGTGCTCGGATCGCGCCCTCTTTCGTTGCCCCGTCGTCAGTCGCACTCATGCAAAGATCACTCTCACGGAGTTTGGCAATGTGAGCTTATATGCTGATCGATTGTATGCGCGATGAGCTTTATGCTCGTCTTTCCTACAGGCATATCTTGTCGACCTCAATTCTCACCATGGTACCCACATCTTACGCCCTGGTGACACTGTCTCCAAGCCCGTTACACCCACCGTGCCCACCGTCCTTGCGGATGGCGACATCATCACTTTCGGCAAGACGGTTGGCCACGATGACAGCATCGTCAGACCTATAACAGTTCGCGTAAGGCTCCTGTTTGGCGGCGACAGCGCTCAGGCTACGACCCCTGTTCAAGACTCGCCTTCGAATCCCACGCCCATGGACAGCACCACGCCTTCGCCTACTGCGCGTTATGGCTCGAACGGACGTTATCGATTCCCTGGTGATTCGTCGTCCTCGTCTTCCGATGATGATTCAGACATCGAGGAAATACATCCTCCGCCCCTGCCTTCGATAGTCTTACCCGCTTCAAGTCCATCGGGACACCCATTCATAAGGAGCGATGCAGAGCGACGGCTCCAGATACTAAGAAGTTTCCTTCCGCCCATACACGCGTGTATCGGTCCTCCTAGCCCGCTGTTCAGCGCGCAGGCATTGTACGACTCGATCACTGAACCACTGCCCGAAATTATTGCTGAAGTGGAGGTCAATCCGCCATTCCGTCTGCTCTCACCATATCCTCCTGGCGGCGAACTATATGCGCCAGAGCCGAGTGTCATCGGAGCTTGGCCTTCGCCTTCGCCCGAAGCCGAGCCTCGGTCTCCTTCTCCCCTTTTCGACGACAACTTCCCTACCGAGGGTTCGATTTCTCCTAGTGACCATCCCAGCGTGTATCATAGTGTGACGAGTGGCGATGAGAAATGCCTCAGCCCGGCCCCCGCCGAGATTGAGCACGAGGCGCAAAGTTCGGATATGGACGTCGAGATTGTGACTGACAAACATAAGGAGCAGGAGAAAGAATGCCACAATGTGATAGATACGGAAGAATCGCGCCCTGTTGTTTCTCGACAGGTTTGTCGTGTGGATATGTTTGATGCGCGTTCATGCTGAATAAGGAATATATAGGAACCTGTCCTTCAGTACCTGACAGCGTCGGACGAGCAAGTGAGCAGGAACATGGTGAGCATACTCTTTTTATTTTCAACATAGAGATAAACTTTGTGTGAGGAGCGGATCGGGTTGCAGAGAAATCTGTCTCCGTTGTCGCTCCTCGCCAAGTCTGTCGTGTGAGCATGCTGTCTATGTCTACTGAATATGAATTGGACAGGAGCCTCCCCATCAACATTCTACCATCTCCGTTGACCTAATAGCGTTGGAGGAACGAGTAGACAGAAACACGGTAAGCATGCTTATGCGTCTCAGAGACCGACTTGCTGAGAGTGACGTGGCCAGGATGCCATTGCTGAGCTGCGCTTCCACCGCTACCGAGACGAAATGAGGGTCGATGAGCATGTCCAGGAGATCAGGGACCGCATGAGCGGGCTCGACGAGCACATGCAGGATGTCAGTGTCGGGGTCGCAAGTGAAGCGTCGGCACGAGATAGTGCGATGGCGAATGCGTTGTCGCGCTTAGACATTGTACAGGTGCAGATCGCCAAGCTGGAAGAGTTCACTCTTGCCAGGAATGCGGAGCGGGACAGTGCAGCCACAGACCTCTTGAGCGGTATCAAGGAAGCGTGGGAGCAGGGTATGTTCCAGAAATTCCGTGGCGATTCTGTTCGCTGATCTTGGGTGTGCAGAGGTGAAAGCGATCCGCGAGGATGCACAGCAGCAGATCGCGCGTGAGTTGGAGCACATGAGGCTTGCGCGCACCTGGGTGGAGGAGACTGCCGCGCAGGTGAAGACACTCTTGCCTCCACAGCCGGTGCGTGTCTGTCACTAGAGACGCTGTCTTGTCTTATCGCATTTTGATCGCACAGGCCGTGAATTCACTCAAGCGCAAACGTTCAACTGAGGCGGACGAGGCGGAGGTTGCCGGGGCGGAGGAGTCGGCACTCGTCGTGGTGCCTTCGCCTCATGTCACGAAGCGCCGGCGCACGATGCGTGTTGTGAGCACGATTGCGCAGACCGCTACGGCGGCGGCGGTTGGCGCGGTCGCTGCGTGGACTGCGCTCGCGTACTATTGAACGTTGCAGTGGATGCAGCGCCCGAGCGTGGAAGTGGACAGTGCAGCGCGTACTTGTTGAGCAAGTCGTCCTCGAGTGGGAGTGTATGTTGAAAGAGTGGCGTTGGCCAACCGGTCATTTGATAGGTTGCATCTCCTTAGTCTAAGTAATTTCGTTCAGGGGGTGTTGTTGTATGATGTGTATATGGAGCAGATTTGTGTATGTACGTGATTAGGTATGGAATGTAATGTCATGTTTTCACCATCCAACTATTGTCACCGTTGCCCGGTGTAATGTAAGACACTGCTCAGTTTTGGGAGTTGTGTTGGCATTTGCTTGGAGATGGGACCAGTCTCGTATCTCGGCCAGGCCTGGGCACGCAGACACGAGCTTATATCCTGCATGCACGCACGTTCGACCTGGAGAAGCGCCCTTGCATCGCCAGAAAGATACCGCAACACCGCCGTGGGGTCACCTCTGCTGGCCAAAAGGGCCACCGGGAGGGGTCCGTGCGCGAAACTTGCGGAGGCCATAGCTCACCGATACTCTGATCAAGAGGCGATGTCATATCGACAGGCCGACGGTCAGCGCGCGCAGGGGCCCGGCGTGTGCGTAGATGCTAGAATGGGTGAGAATGTCTTGCTGGACATGGGTGCACGTCAGCCGCGCGTTACCGCGAAGACCCTGGGTGTGACTAGTTGGCTGCTCACTGCAGTTTCGAGGAGCACAATTGGGCCCACTGGAATTCATCACGGCGGCGGCGGGGCACAGATCATCGAGTTCCGAAAAGGCGGGCATCGCATTGAGTTGAGCAGAAGCGGGTTGGTCTCCTGCGAGCAGATACCTCCTTCGACCTTCGCTCTTGCAGGCTCCAGATATCTGTCTTCCACACGTTTAGGTGCGAGACCACGGATATCCGCATATGACAGGCGGGTGAGTCCCTATGACCCAAGGGTCCAAGATGGTGGGGAGCAGCTTAGTCAGCAGAAGGCGCAGTCAGCCGCCGCACTCGCTCCTTCTCTCCCTACTTAAGCCACAGCTCAAGCGAACGGCAGCACTCACTAGCATCTTGCAAACATGGCCGATACCAAAGTACGTCGCTCCGCTTGTCTCCAGTGCTTCACTCACAGCCGTCTCCCAGGGCCCAGTTATCGCCTCTAACAAGCTGGCGATGTCCCGCGCACTCGGTGCCGCATTCCTCAATCATCAGGTTCAGCAGCTCGAAAAGACCGTCTCGAATACAGGCCCAGGGGGGAATTGGAGAGAGCGGCGTGCTTCCAATCCCACGGATAATTACTACAACTATGGCCACCCCGACGGACGCCGTCCTCGCACGCTCCCTGCGAAAATGCTCAAGAAGCGGGACGGCGAAGGAGTCGATCATGACGGCGACGAAAGGGTGCGATGGAAGGACCCGAAGGAGGCAAAGGCTCCGAAGGACGCTGATATCGTCGTCGTCGATGCCAGTGTGCTCGTCCACGCTCTCGCCCAGGTCAAGAAATGGTGTCGTGACGGCAGAGAGGAGATCGTCATCGTCCCGCTCGAAGGTGCGCGCTCTCCTCCCTCTCAATTATGACCATTCCCAACGTGTGACGCACTTCAGCCCTCAACACCCTCGATCTACTCAAGAAGGGTATGAGCTCCCTCGCCCAGCGTGCTCGCGCGGCATCTCGCATCCTCGAAGCCCAGGTGGGCACCAACCCTCGCATCTGCGTGCAGCGCGACGACGCATTCGTCCCCTGGGACTCCATTGTCGAAAGGCAGCTCCCTGGTGCCCCGCCCACTGGCTCTCCCGAGTGGGTGCGCCGCACCATCTGTTGCGCGCGCTGGGAAGTCGAGCACGCTGCGGACGAAGACGCCCCTGAACGCAAGTCCGACGCGGACCCGGGCCACGGCGGCAGGAAGGTCGTGCTCGCCGTACTCTCGCAGGCCCCCGAGGCGCAGTCCGAGGCGATCCACATCCCGTACTCCAATGCATCCTCGTCTCCTGTGCCGCTTCCCGCACCGCAGATGAACAGACACGAACCGCGCTCGTCTGGTGCGCTCGTAGCGCAGTGGGCGGCGAAGGCCGGAATCCCGGTGCTCGAAGTGGCGCCGTCCCCGCCCCCTGGAGCGAACGGACCCGCTGGAGACGCAGCAGCAAACGGACGTCACTCGCCGCAGAACACCCGTCGCTCGGGCGAGGAGGAGCGCAGCAAGCGCGGAGCACGGAGGAACTCGTACCTGCGTAGTGGCGGCGAGCGCGGCGGTGCGCCCTCGGGCCGCCCGGGCTCGAGTGGCGGACTCGTCGAGCGCCCTCCTGCGGTCATGGCAATGATGGAGGCAGTGGCCCAGCCCAGCCGTGTTGTGCGCGTCCTCGCGCGCGGTGAGAAGCTCGACCCGGATACTTAAGCCTGTGTACGCAGACTGGAAAACATAGCCGCTCAAGGTGCGTCGATCTGGGTCGGTGACGTCTCAGCGTCCTGGCTGATCGTCATAATTAGCCTCATAGACTTAGCATTGGATCAGATCCGACTTCCAGAAGTGTTTCGTCCCACATTTGGGGGACGGATGGGCTGTCGGAACGGTGCCTCCGTCTTGGTTCTGACGGTCAACCCCAGCAATTGGGCTCGTGGAAAGTGCAGGTTGGTCGTCCTGCACACGCTAGGATTGGGTTCCTCTCGCACCATTATTGCCTGCCACCTGCCTGCAACTCAGTGACATTCCTTCTCAGAGAATCTATGTCTCCGTCCCTTATACGGCGTATTGAATAGCGGGCTCGGCCATGACAAAAACATACCTCTATGCGAACTTTCTTCTTCCTCTTTAATCCCCATCTGTGTACATGTACCTTGTTCGTATGATTTTGAATACTATGGCTCGTTTTGCCTTTGATTCCCGGTGGCGAATGAGATTGAACTTATAAGAGCCGATCGGAGCGCGAGGGCTCTCACACGCGTGTGTAGGGGACAAATGATCAGTCAAGCCTTTGCATTCTTGGACGCCTGCAGCTTCGCCTGCATTACATTAACGAGGTAATTCATATTGTCCTGCTTCTTCTGTATCGTCTCCTGCAGCGCCTCAAGGTTCGTGCGGATGAAATCCACCTTTGCCTCGTAGTGCTTCAGCGCCTGCGCGCGAGACTGAGACGGAGTGCTGAGCAGGCTGCATGGCGAGACGGGTAAGGGGCTCACCTTCTTCACATAGTAACCCGTCCCAACGTCGACGATAACGTTCTCCGAGTCGTGGATCTTCCCCGGGACGTACAGTGAGTTCGTCAGCGGGACGAGCACCGTTTTGCCTGTCGAGCGGAATCAGCCAAGTATTCGTAAGCCGCGCGCAGCCACACACCTTGGTTATCTGGCTTGACCTGCTTCACGTTGTCGATGCATGCTCGGAACTTGGCTTGCGCCTGGCGGAGCTGAGTAAACGAGGTCGAGAGGTGGTTGAGTTCCTGGGCGGGAGCGATCAGCGACGAGGTCCAGAAGCGAGGGACACAGAAGAGAGGGGTACTTCTTCTAGCTGGCGCCGGACATCTGCAAGCTGGGGTAAATCGAGGTCTGTAACGTTGATTTGTTGGGGTTGTGCGGCGGACGCCATGGTGTGTCCAAAGGAGTTGGTGGCAATCTCGGTTAAGCTCTCTGCGAATAGGGCTATTCATGAACACATATTACTACTACTAGACCGACAAGTGTAGCATTCGTGGTGTAGCGGTAACATTGGGTCTTCCCATGGCCTAGCTCCGGGTTCGACTCCCGGCGGATGCAGCCGGATCACTCCCGATAACTTTTGTTTTGGTAATCCTGTGAGTCGGCAGGACCTTCATCGGTCGTAGTTTTGATCCGTTCTTCTTCTCGTTCCGACGTCGATACCACTTGGATACCACTCAGTACTCTCGCATATTCCTCAAGTTATAACTTGCATTCTACGGCACGACGAGGCGAGAAGTGCGGCAGCCATTGCCCGTGAGTCGTTGACAATATGTCTTCGAAGGGAAAGATACCGCAGGACATAGGTATGTCGCAGGCTTATTCGCACTGCTGCCCTTTAGCCTCAACGACTCGGCGCAGTTGCGATCTTCCATGCCGCCTTCCACCCGACCCAAGGGAACGTGATAGATTGGTCGCTGAAAGCAAGTGATGGTAGTGTGCGCCATACAACGTTCCCATTCGCAGCTTATGGGGCCGCACAGACTTGGACCTGGGGCATGTCGAGTTCAGCTGCCTACCGAGCGGCTTGCACCTGATGGAGCGGGATGTCATGTAAGCCTGTCCGTCGCCGTCGTCGCCATGTCGTTCAGACCCTGTCTAGATACTTCACAAAGGGCGAGCACTCCGGCGTATGCGTGTTCCACCGACAGAAGACTACAGAGGAGGGACACCGCGGCTTTCGGCTCTCCTCGCTCGGCATCCTGCTCGCCAAATCTGCACGACCTCGTCCATGGCTTCACCTACCTGCTCTGAAAGAGGTCTTCCGCTCCATGTACTCGTCGATAGAGGACAGAGACGTGCTGGTGCCTCTGGATGGCGATTGGGACCCGGCAAGGGCGTTCTTTGAAGAGCGCAAGGTCCGCCGTGCAGACTTGGGCGGGGCAGGGGATTGGAATGGGTGGAGTGCAGAGCTGGAAGACGACGCCCCCGACACCGACCCGACGGCCCACCTCCCCCATCTCCTCCGTATCATCGGGCCCTCATCCTTGACGCTATACAAGCACGTTCTCGGGCGTCGGCGCATCCTTATATATACCCTCCCTCCAGTTGAAGCTGCCTGCATCCTCTGCCAAGTCGCCGCCGATATCTGCTACCAGTATCAGACCGAAGGAGAAGACGACACGCTCCCTGACGCTGACGATGAGCCACATAGAAAACTGAAGGGCAAGTCCGCAGCAGGCGTGAAAGTGTTGGGCATGGTCACCCTGAACGACCTTTCCAAGCTTGAAGAGGAAAGCCGGACAGGCCGTGGGTGGGTTGCTTGCACGACGGATGCGATTTTCCTGGAGAAACCATCATATTACGACCTTCTGATTGACCTCCGAACATCGACGCCCAACACCCGCCCCACTTTCTACGTGTCCAAGCCAGTAGACCAGTCAAACGGTCGGGGACCATCACATCGGCTGTCCCTTGTGCGATTCACATGGAGTGATGTGAAGCTGGTACGTCTCCCGTCGGTTTTTTCACCCATTCGGCTCTTAAATCACTATTTCTTACAGTGGACAGAGCTTGAGCGCCTGCTCCAACTAGATACCGGGGAGCACATGGACAGATGTTGCGATCCGTCCCTCGGCTCTCGCCAGAGCACGAGCTCGTGGACGGACATCTGGCGCGTATACGAGGACGTCTGCGTCGTGTGCGCCGGACTCTGGATGGGCTCCTGGCGCACCCAGCCGACTCTCTCGTGCGGTGCCCCGGGCGGGCGGTGGGAGAATTGGGGGAGCATCCGTCTAGAAGGCGAGGAAAGTCTGTCTCTGCGCAAGCAGTCGCGCTCGTACGTGCGCCATGTGGGCATGGGTGTTGAAGGCCGCCCTGCGTACGACGCGTCCACGTCGTCCGGGCGGACCCAGCGGCGCTCGGCCAAGTCGAGCAGTCTATCCGTATGGTCGTGGACTACCAGCAAGGGGGACGGCCAAGGCTCGGGCACCGCACCGGCGGCAGGGCCCAGCGACCCTGTCGACTCGGAACCCACGGCAAAGGACGTTGCTATGTCTGTTCACATCGAAGAGAGCCAGGGCGCACGGCGGACGCAGCAGATTATAACTACGCTTGCCCTCCTTCAAGCGTTCCATGTCAATACGACTGCCATTCTAGCGCGTCTCGCAGAGCTCCTTCCTCAGCGTCGGTCTCAGCCCAGACACGACAGTGGAGAGAGTAATTCCACGGTTATTCTGACACCAAAGGATGTCATGTCATTTGAGTTGGGACCTTTCAGCGGATTGGATGCGCGATTCGTCGAGTGGCTGGGAGAGGAATACGGAGGCGGGTCGAGGGTCGTCGCTCGGCGGAATTGGCGTGACTTGATGGGGCTCTTATTGGGACTGAGCTCATAGGTCTCTGATCAATACTATGTACTAGACCATAAAACCATACAGTGAGATTGAGGGTCAAGAGCACCAATTCCAACTGTGCACATAAAGATGGGAAACAACAAAATGGCGACTTGGCTGAAACTTAAGCAAGTAGGGAGGTACCGGTTGGCTCGAGTCAACAAAAATGTAATCCTCCGATACGGGGAATCGAACCCCGAGCTGCCGCGCCCTCTTGAAAGGCGGCAATGTTAGCCGTTACACCATATCGGATGTGTTAACATGTCAAAGTCCATTAATTCTGGCTTGTCTCGGCTGGAGACGTCAACAACATATTGGCGTCTGTACACTGTGCACGTAGATGAAGTTTGTGTACATTCGAATATCGATACATATATTCCGTTAGTATGTTATAGGGATCCAGTAGCAGTACGACGTAGAAATAGCATAAGCCACAGAGGAAACGGACATGTGAATGACTACGCCTTCTGGCCGTACGTCTTCAACACGTCTCGAGTCAATGACCGCAGCATCGCGACGGTAACATATGGTCGGTCGGCGCTATCTGTGCCGCCCGCAGTCGACACTATGGTGCTGGGCGGTGGTGAGTAAGCCGTCCCGTTTGGCATCCCGAGATCAGCACTGGTGAGACTGGTCGATCTCATGCGTTTATTTGATTGAGGTGCTTGCAGACTGCAGTGACAACAGGCTGTCAGTACCTCAGGTTTTGAACACCGAGCACACACGGACGCACCTGTCCGTCAAGACGTCATCATCTACCGCTTTTCGCTTGGGAGATCCTCGCACGTCGTTACGGGGGGGAATGGGAGTGAGAAGGTATTCTCGCAGACGATCGTTTTGTGATTCGATAAACTTCTCGAACTTAGGCACGCTAGTATGGAAAGCGAGAATGTCCAAGCTGAAAATCGAGGATAATTCTGCGTCGACCATATTGGCAACCGTCGCGACGGGTAAATCGGCATGGGCATCTAAGAATGGACCCATCATGTATCCTATAATCTAGTGAGGTGGTTTAGATGAGTCAGGGAAGGAGTACTCGTACCTTTCCCCAAATGTAAAGGAGTCTCCAGATCTACTGGGGTTTTGACGTGGACCTTAGGAGGGTGCCCAAGAAGAACGAGCATCGTCTGAGCCATTTCAACTTGTGTATATTTGATAGCCTCCAATACATGCCCATAGCGGAACCAATCCACTATATCAATATGAGAATAGTCGAGCAGGCAACTGTTATACACTTACGCGCGTCGTCCACCCAACAGAGGTCGAGCCAATCGGACATCCTTGCCTTAAATGGCGTTTGGAAAGTGGATACTAGACCTGCCCATTCGTGTTTAATATTAAATCGTACAATGTACCAACATGAACAACGTACTTTTCCATGATACTCGCGTCTTGGTTACATCCAAGACATCAATATGCACGTTCTCCAAAAACTCGGTAAACTTGGCATCAAGGTCAGTTGCATTGGAGGCAATACTGAAAGTGTATGCCTGAGAGACGACCTTGCGTGTCTACTCTAGCGCGTCAGCGCTTTTGGATGACAGACAGACGCGCAAACTCACCATGTCAAGGAAATCGCTCTCGTTCTCCGCTTCACCACCGTCCGACCATTGTATGGTCACGAGTGTCCGACTAAATGAATCTTCGCTAGAAGAGATACTTGCTATGAGGTCTCGAAGGCGAGCGCAATCGTCAAGTATTCTGTATTTTCTGCGGAACATCCCCTTTCAGTAAGGAAGCCGGGCTATGGCTCTGCGCGAAGTGCATACCTTTCAAGCTCATCAGTTATCCCTTCAAGGGGTGTACGCTCAAAAACGATGACCCCGGGACATCCACGAGTAGTCGCTGGAACAGCAGGATCGGCCGGAATAGAGAACACACTCTCAGAGTCCCATACACCAGAGGCAGGAACATCGAATTTGTGTTCTAACCAGATCGCCGTCCCATCGTTCTCCGGATTTAGCGACAACCATATCCTCATGGCTGGTGGGATCCACCCATCCAGACTCTGATTTCGCACCTGGGCACGCACAGCACGCAGCAGTGATCCTTGAGCCCACCGTCGTTGGTGCTCCGCATGGTTCTGGTAACAGGGAACAAGAATTGTATCGTGAGAATTGCGATTCGCGCGAAAAGGCCAATACCGGGCAAGAGGGAATGCTGCACCTCTTTCAATCGACGCGCCAAATCCTCGTCTGCAAGTGGCTGAACGTAGGAGGTACTGACCCTTCGCTTTGCACGCTTGACGCTTGACGGTTCCACGCTAGAGATTCTACGCTTCGTCTTCTGACTTTGACTAGGCTTGGAATTGAGACTTTTTGATAGTCGCTCTCGTTGCACCTTCGCTTGATAAGCGTCACTCCGGCGGCAGGCTTCCAGCCACGCTGCTCTGTCAGTAGCCCTCCTCATCCACAGCTTAAAACACCTTCTGACTAGAGGTGCAGTTTTTAGATATTCAGATAATCGTGCGTCGAGATCGACAACAACAGCTTTCTCCTTCCCTTTCCCCTTATGGAGAGATGAGTGGCCGTTGATGGAGATCTTTTCCTGTGTCTGGATTTGAGGGGTAGGCTTGAGGGACTCGGAATATGGCACCTGAGGAGAGGGGCTTCCTGCAGGCACCTGGAAAAGCCTCGAAGCCGTGGGCGACTGGAGCTGCAACGGACTTAGTATCTCAGACGGCGCAAAGGCGGGCATCTGAAGCGCCGGGAAGCTAAGGATAGATTTCTTCCTCACGCTCGAGGTGGAAGGACTGTTTTGTGAATTAGGATCAAACCATCTGGCGGTAGGCGTAGGGGGCAGCGCGAGGGGAGGCAGTTTATTCATGGGGGGAGGCACTAGCGGCGATGCCGGTGACGCTAGACCTGTGGTCAGAGCAGGAGGTACCGAGATAGATCCCTGGTCACGAATTGGTGTCTGAGACTGAGGAGACGACGAAGAACTCGAAAAATCCCATAGAGTCTGGCGTCTCGAAATAATGCGTGGAGCAGGTGGGCCCGCTACGTCGCCAAGTGCCGATGCTTGCTCCCGTTGATTTAGAGATGATATATCAAAAGGCGGCTGCGTTGGGGGAGTGGTGGAAGGAACTGATGAGAATAGTGCGGTTGCTCCAGAGGAAAAATTGCTGATCTTGCTTGGGGAACTTGGCAAATTGCTAGTTGGTGGAGAAGGCGCACTGATTGGAGGTGTTAAGAAGAAGGATGATTTTCTGGGCGTGAAAGACGGCGCTAGAGGGTTCGGATTCAAAGGCGAGGACGAATTATTTGACGGGGGAGTAGCTGGTTGAACGATCCCAGATGTCAGGAAAGAGTCGTTAGCATTCTCCCCGAATAGCACAGGCTGTTGAATTGATGGAAATTTTGCGGCGCCAGACGAGGGCACAGTAGTGCTCTTTCCCTGAGAGAAAGAAAATCCATCAAATATAGACGGGGCCGGTTGAGATGTCGGAGCTGGATCAGGAGCAGGTATCGCGGGCGAGCTTGACGAATTGGCGGACGTCCCGAAGACCGACTTCACAGCACCTCCAAAAACTGATCCCGACTTCGACCCTCCAAAGACAGTAGACGTACCAAATACGTTGGGTGTAGAGGTTAGGCTTCCAAAGGCGGAGGTTGCAGGCGCCATCGGTGAACTCGCGCTTGTAGTTTCTAAATTACCAAATGCCGAAACAGTTTTAGCAGATTGTTCGAAGGATGAAAGGCCATGCGTGACGCCGGTGGCGTCAAATGGTGGCGGATTCGTGGGTACCGGCGTCGGAAGTGTACCAGATTGTCTTGACGTGTGGCCTAACGCAGGAGCAATCGCATCCACTAAACTTTGCCCTGAAGATGGCGTAGAAATACCATCGATGACTTGCGGAACAGTCAACTCGCCGCGGATAGCCTCGATATCATCGATTGTGTCCGGCCCAAAAAGTCTCTCCAAAATGCATGCAACGAGGTATATCATCACGACATCGCCTTGCTCTCTGAGTACGGCCGCAAGCTGACCAAAAATCTGCATGCCTTCTGCGTCAACAACAAGGCGTGACGTCTTCGATATAGGTGCACTTTTATCTTGTACGTGTAGACGGAATTGTGTGGTGTATTGAAAAACGGGATGATTCGTGATCTCATCGGGAATGTCTTCGCGTCGTTCACGTTGATCTCTGATGTGGATGAGTCGATGGTAGACACGCATCTCCAGCTCGGTGGGGGCTTGGTATTTGCCTCGCTGATCCTCATAGAATTCCTTCAAGCTTTGTAATGCTACAGATATATGTTTCTTCTCTCTTCTTCACAATAAAGAAATGAAGAACGTACTATTCATAAGCTGCTGTTCCTCTAGAGCAACAGAAAATCTAGGATTTTCACGTTCAAGATGAAGGGCCAAGATATGAAACCGTGCGCAACGGTCATGGCATTCAATGGCAAGTGGGCCCTGTTCATGCTGCATGGTGAAATCGCTCCTCACGGCACGAGAACGATCACGAATGAAATCGTAAGTTTGAGTGAAGCCACCTCTTATAAGTAAGTCGTGGAACAGATAATTTAGCGTTTTCTACCAAAGACAATAAGTGGCCATGCAGATAGATCCTAGGAACATGAACTCACTTTCAGCACCGTAGGTGGACGCAAATCAGACGGTAACGTCTTATCCCCAGCAGCACGTTCGTAGATCTTGACGGCACGTCTATGATCCACCCGCTTCGTTCCCGGTATCTAGAATAATCCAGCGTAGCTTTCGATGGTGGGCTAGCCATGTTGAATCAGCCGATTACTTACCACTTCCCATTTATCGAGGTTGTTCTCCCGTTCACGTCTGTACCGCTCGAATCTGGGACACATGTCCATACACGTTCCAACCATCGTAATAGCTTCGTCAAGACGTTTTGAGACGGTCGGATCATCCATTTTGCCCTCCGCTATAGCTCGCTTACGTTCTGCTTCTCGAGTTTTGACCAGCTACACGAACGTAAATTGCTCCATGCTGTATGTGTAATATCGGAACTTACTTCTTGCCAGAAACGTTCACGTTCTTGTGGCGTCTCTGGATCTGGTGTCTCAGTATGACTATCAATATGAATATCCTCGCCCATGCCATCATCGTCGAAACTTTTCTCTTCGTCTGTGCCGCTGGCAGCATCTTCATGTTCGTTACCGTCAGGGATACTGAGGAAAGGTGAGGAGGAAGTAGCATCTCTGTTTCTACCTCCGCGTCGTCTAGCAAGTCCGCCGCGCTCCCGTCGTTCACTGTCACTTCCATGACCGTTGCTGGTGCTGTTCTTCCCGGCGACCCACTTCTTGTTCTTGGAAAGACTCCTGCCTCCACCGGAAGCGCCTTGCATGCGTGTTCCGTGCCCTGTTGAGTCCATCTCAGCAGAGACCAGAGAGTGGAACCCTCAAACGAATAGGCAGCGACAGCTTTACAGTGGACAAGATTCACAAGAACAAGACAGACGGCTGCACGGCGCTCAACTGTGCCACAGACGCGATGAATTACGTCAGCACTCACATGCACCCTATATGGAAATGTCGAGTTCGCGCGCCCGATTAAATAGAGCTCACTTTTTAGCTTACGTTATTTTAGCTCGCGTCTTTTCGTAGCTGAGGCTCTGCAACGTCCACTTCCACTTCCACAACTTCAAACTATTGCTGCTAAATAACGTCTCTAATACCTCTATTTGTGTCGCTGTTCCGTACGAGGATCTTCAATTTAACATATCAACGAGCCATTTGTCTCTGCGATGAGTTCGGAATCAAGTTCGCCGGAGAAGAAGCCAATTGTCATTATAACCATAGGCATGGCCGGCGCAGGAAAATCTACCTTCGTGCAACGAATAAACTCCTATCAGCACTCTCTTGAACCACCCTCACCTCCGTATATCCTCAACCTTGATCCAGCCGTAACGAATGTCCCCTTTGAAGCAAACATAGACATCCGGGACACTGTCAATTATCACGAAGTGATGAAGCAGTGTGTGGTTCTTCCACCTTGCTTGTCTGTCACTCAGTCCTGAGCTCTGTTTCTCACCATGCTGCTATTATCGCATGAAGATATAATCTTGGACCGAACGGGGGAATTTTGACCGCTCTCAACCTCTTCACGACCAAGTTTGACCAGGTGCTGGATCTAGTCGAGAAGCGAGCTCAGGAAGTCGAGTAAGCGGCCGTATCACTTGCCTTATCGTACGCACTCATCGTACGGGTGAGCAGTTATATTATCTTGGACACCCCAGGACAGATTGAGATTTTCACCTGGTCGGCCTCGGGAGCTATCATCACGGATGCGGTTGCTTCGACGTTGCCCACGGTCGTCGCATACATCATAGATACGCCGAGGACAACTGCCCCCGCAACATTTATGTCGAATATGCTATACGCCTGCAGGTACGCAATTTCTGATTGACGACATTGCTATCGCTATCGCACGTTGCTGGAGCATGCATATGTTTGGCTATGTCTGACATAACGCTCGACTGCCAACATAGACATGGTCCATGCACCGGCGGTAATCCCATATCGCTATAGATCCAAATACTCACCGAGACATGTAGCATTCTATATAAGACTAAATTGCCGTTCATCCTCGTCTTCAATAAGACAGATGTTCAACCTCATGATTTTGCTCTAGAATGGATGCATGATTTTGAGGCCTTCCAAGCTGCGTTGGCCACCCACCGTGGCACTACAGACGATGAAGGCGAACCAACATACATGAACAGTCTCATGAACAGCATGAGTCTCGTGCTGGATGAATTTTACCAACATCTGACGGTCATTCACCTTTTTTCTCGCCGTTGGAACAATACTCACGCCTTGAGTACTTTAGGCTGTTGGCGTCTCGAGTATGACGGGAGCAGGAGTGAAAGAATTTTTTGATGCGGTGGAGGCATGTCGGACGGAGTACACCAAGTAAGTTCCTCCATTCGGCGCCAGCGCGGTACGCGGCTCTCCGTCGTCGTGCTCAATGTTCTTCTCCCGCTTATTCACCCCCACGCTATGGTAACTTCTGGTACACTCGGTTTCCACGCTAGTGAGTATCTTCCTGAGCTCGAGCGCGCCCGTGCAGCGCGGGCAGAGACGCTGCAAGCGGCAAAGGAGGATTCCGTGAGCAGGCTTATGAAGGATCTCGCCGTTGATCGTGCACGAAATCCTTCTGGCGCGTTGCATGACCGCTGGGACCCAAATGAGGACGATGACGACGGCAACGACGCGGAGGTCAATATCATTGATCGTAGTACGTCGTCTCTGATTTTTTCTTCTGAGCCCAGCAGCATTGAAGATATGGGTCTGGCAGCCCAAGAATCTTGGCCGGGCCAGTATATTGACGTTACCAGGGTGCGCCGGCGGGATGAGGAGGGGATGACTTGGCCTCGACCTGGATAATGGACACAGAGTATACTCCAAAAATATTTGAAATAGACTTATCTGCTGACCGGCTCCACACTGCCTTGATAAAATAGCTTTGAGTACGTTTTGATCTCGTCATTGGGCTGGCTTCTATTCAATCAAGAACTGGACACGGCTTCAGTCTTCACCTCACTACGGCCTGTCTCAGGGCGGGCTGACCGCAGCAACGCAGCTTCGATAGGACTGGCCACATCGTTCCCAGACGTAGATCGGTCCGAAAGTATGACACGATCGGAAGGGCTGCATGGCTCGCGTCCTAGTCTCCTTTCAAGCAGCCTAATCCGTGATTTGAATGTTGCGAACCTGCATGTGCTTAGTGGAGCCCGGACAGTCAGGAGCCACATCGGCTGATATCATAGACCGACCGCTCTTTGACCGGGGATACGGTGTGCTATAGATGTGAAATATTTCGGAAATATTCAGGAAATATTCATCGGGGGGAGGGTATTCGAAGTAAATAGATTACCTATGGTGACATGATGCATCTTGCATGTCTATCTCGGTTCTCACTGTTGCTCGAGACGCGAACGCTGTCGCAATTTGCGTGGATAGAGCAAGGTCGTTTACGTGGGATGGGTTAAATTTGCGTTGTGGCCGCGCTTGTCTATTGTTTCTGGCCTTGTGCAGCTGCGTGTTGCCTGCCGCACTGCATCAACACTTCCTTTCTCGGACTTACACCGGCGCTTACGTGATCATGCATATCCTGAGCTCAAGTTGTCCAAAGTGACATTCGCTCTCCCTCTCGTCTTTCCGTCCTTCACCCTCTTCCCCCAAGTCGTCCCCCCGCCTTTCGTCTATTTGTTTACTCGGTATAGTAGCACGGTCTTTGTCTGGTCGATTCTTCCGCCAATATGGAACGGTCGGTGCATGTTATCCCAGTCGACTGTGGCGGTAGCTGACGGCATTGTACCTTCAGCTACTCCAAGATCGAGAAGATTGGTTAGTTCGAGTGGATTCATAGTGCTCCACATGGAACTCATTTGTGCATTCATCAATCTCGCACTACAGGTGAAGGTGTGTGGCGACTCTAAGCTCCCGATAGTTTCTCCTATTAATTCGCGTTGGATCTTTGCACTTTCCTTGCTTTCCAGGCACGTATGGTGTTGTCTACAAGGCCCGCGATGTAACGACCAACCAAGTGGTCGCCATGAAGAAGATAAGGCTCGAGGCGGAAGACGAGGGAGTCCCTAGTACTGCTATACGAGAAATCAGTCTGCTGAAAGAGCTGAAGGACGACCATGTTGTCAGGTACGTTTCCTGGTTGATATTTTGTATTTTGGGGCCATTTGTTGTTTAATATTTCACTTTTCTTCACAATTGTCCCACTTGTCTCCCACTTGTCTGCTGCCGCGTGTGTGAAGCAACAGACTGACATGAACCGCCGAAATTTCACAGACTGCTTGATATAGTCCACGCTGATCAGAAGCTGTATCTCGTATTCGAATTCCTCGACGTTGATTTGAAGAGATATATGGAACAAGCCAATCAGGTTGGAAATCCTATTACTCCGGATCTGGTAAAGGTGAGTATTCTGTGCTCGGTTTATGTAAACATTTGGAACTTGTTTTTCGATTTCTTGCATGCAAATGACGCGTGTTGGACGCGTGCTATGAGAAGCTGTCGCGTCCTGGCGCCCCTCATGCAGTATATTTTCTAGCGGTGAAGAAATGTCGAGAGAGTCACGTGACCATTCTTCATCTCGTTTATCTCCATTGTCATTTATTTCGATTTTGACAATGTCTCTCGCAGAAATTCACTCACCAGCTATCTTCTGGTCTCCTCTACTGCCATTCGCATCGCATTCTTCATCGCGACTTGAAACCGCAAAACCTGCTCATCGATAAATATGATAACTTGAAACTCGCGGATTTTGGGCTCGCAAGGGCTTTTGGGATACCCATGAGGACATACACTCACGAGGTGCGCATTTTAATCGCTGATATCCCTGCGATACATGCACAGTCGGCTAATCTTATTGCAGGTTGTCACTTTGTGGTATCGTGCACCCGAAGTCCTCTTGGGGTCTCGTCACTATTCAACTGCGATCGATATGTGGTCGGTTGGATGTATCTTTGCGGAGATGGTTATGAGAGGACACCCTCTGTTTCCAGGAGACTCTGAGATTGATCAGATCTTCAAGATTTTCAGGTTCGTGTTCCGAGCTTTTCATCGACATTCGATCCACGAGATCGGTTTCCACGACCAATGATGAGTCCTTTCGTGTTCACAATGTTAACGTGTTTTCTTTAGAGTGCTTGGGACACCTAGTGAGGAGTCTTGGCCAGGAGTCAAGCAATTACCAGATTACAAACCAACATTCCCCCACTGGTCTGCTCAAGATCTGGCTGATCACGTACCAACATTAGATGATGAAGGTTTGGATCTGCTAAAGGTATGTCCAGCGTCGGATTCGAGTCTGACTCTATTCTTGTCAGTCTATGTGATTTGCTCATCTATTATTCGTGTATCTTCAGCTCATGCTGACTTATGACACCAGCAAGCGCATATCAGGTTTGACAACCTCTCTTTTGAGTATGAATATAGCTGATGCATCATATAGCCAAGCGCGCTCTCCATCACCCGTACTTCGACAATTTCAAGCTCTAACATCTTAATTTTCGATATTCGCTTCCAATCTCAACTCGCATCGGCTCTCCGTCGCTGTTCGCACGTTGTCTTCGTCCTTCGCCTTCCCTCGCATTTCGCATTCGCACATCATTGGTCAGTTCCCGTCACGCAATCATAACGCTACAATACCTTACATGCGCGTATTGTGTTCCTATATCACCCTTGCATGGCACTATATTTTTCTTGGCTCCCACTAAATCAGCCTCGATAATCATGTTATTTGTGGTCAAGGTGTCTTTTCGTTCGTCACTGCTGTGGAGTGATTATGAAATCGCTTGTTATCTTCATGTATGACTGGATGTCGCAGATTGTATTTCAATACAAGCGGATTATCATTTGGGAATACTGCACATTCAATAGAACACACGATTAGACCGAAGATAGCTAATCAGAAGACTGTCATTGCGGCCTCCACTGTTGTCAAGTATGAGGATCATGTACAGAGGCAAGTCTATGAGCCAAGCTCCACACTCAGTAATAGTTCATATAAGAGTATATTAGACTTGCTGAGAGCCTTACAAAGGTCCTACACCCGGGAGAGTGAAATCAGGGAAGTCAGGCCAATTCCCGAGCGCTCCAGGGTCTCCACCAATGCGGACCCATTGAGAGTGAGACGGAGTCGGCCCATCCAGGATGAACATTTGGTGCCAGCTGGGAGGCGAGACGTAGACGTTGGGAGGTGCAGTCACTACACACGTATTGCCTGTGCAGGAGAATTCGGGGAAGATCGTCCTAGAGCCCATGTTGTTGCCGTGGGTGCTCGAAGTCGCTAGTACGGTGTCTATTAGTGACCATAGCCAGACCTCCCTTGGCAGAGACGTGACATACCGGCCAGCAGCGACACTCGCATCGTGTCTGTTGTGCCTTCGTATAGCTCGACTGTAATCGTGTACGTACCGCCGTAGTCCCAGTCGTTCTCCTCAACGGTGAAGTTGGGCTGCTTGCGTCCGTCCGACAGGTAAGGCGGAATATACACCTCGATCCTCATCTCCTCCGGGAGTCCTGGTGTCTGCGGGTCGCTACCAGAAATCAACACCCGACCATCAGGAAGGAGCTGGAAACGGTGATTAGCGTGACAGAGATGCGCAGGGCGCTGATGGAACGTACTGTTGACTCCGAGTGGTACATGCGCGCCACGATCGTGGTATTCAGGAATGAGATTCTCTCGTTCACGGGCAGGCTTGGGTCGTAGAGCAGCGCTTGGTAGTTGGGGTCAGAGCCAAGTCCAAACCCAGCAACACCAGCCTGTGCGCCGTTGATAACGAGGAAAGTGCCATCAGGAAGCGCTGACGCTAGGGTTAGCAGGCGTAGACAGACGGATTGGAACAAGGCCGCGTACGTGACTGCGCGTACAGGGATCAGCGATCATTCAGCGTCAGGGAATGTCCAAGGCTTACTATGCATGTCATAACTCGCTTAGATGGCTAACACAGGTTATCGCTATGTCAGTAAAATACGCGAATGAATAACGTTACGCACCATCCGCTCGAGCGTCCACTGTGGGTTCTCTACCTCTGGCTGTATGCTGACACAGTTGTCGAGCGCGATGCCGAAGTTGGAACCACCACATATGAGTACGGTAACCGGATCCGTGTAGGGAGGGTACTGTGGGAATAAGACAGCTGTTGCCTCCATCGGATACGTCCTTCCAGCCAGGAAACTTGTCACTGATCCAGGGATATTAGGAAGCACCGTGAGGGTCTCAAATGTCACTGGATCCAAAATCCGCGCCTCGTTATAATAACCTGTACCAGTCATCAGTGAATAAGTAGACGGCTGCGGAGGTGTAATCTTACCAATGAATATATTCCCGCTCGGAAGCATCATAAGGTATGGGTATAAGTTGTTGGGATCAGTGCGATTCAAATAGTCCAAGAATATCCAGGTCGGGCCTCCCACAGGGGTAGGCAAAATCTCCAAGCTCGGCTCTGGCGCACCGTTGCTTCCATGTTCACCGCCAACGACCAGCACGCTCCCGTTTGATAGGACGAGTGCGGACGGATACCAACGTGATCTCTACGAAGGCAAAGGTGAGCGCAGACAACAACCACAGAAGACGAAGATACCTGAAGTTCCAACTCGGCCGGATTTTCTTCCCAGTCATTCGTTCCGTTCACGCCCGGACTGCCATCAGGCGTATACAGCCGAATCCCGTAGGTACTCTCCACACTCCACCCACCCACGTTCAGCTGCCTGGCTCCCCGATCAGGGAGCACAAGTGATGCAGAGCAGAAGACGTCCGTTTTCACGTGCATAGTACGCCAAGCCAGTTCAAAATTATCGACAAGACTGAGGTCGAGCTCGTATGCGCCTGTCGAGTTGTCGAATTCGCTCGTTCCATACTTTTCCACGAAAGACACCTTGCCGTTGATACCGACGGTGGCCACGAGCGGGACTACCACGCCACCGATCAAGAACTGGACACAAGGCAGCGTTATACTGCGTTCAGGGATGGAACGGTGGGGCACATACCTCGTATCGCCCGGTATTTACGGGCGTGTGCCAGACGCTCAGATTGCCGTTATAATAGTATAGCTGTCGTCACGCGTCAGCTGAATAAAGTCTGCTTTATTCAAAACTTGCATACCTGCAACCTCTCGGGTCCTCCACACAGATGGTCGGGATCTCCAGAGCACGGCATAGAACACTGCGATGGATCCGAGGCAAAGCCAGGGCTGTACTCAATCACATCCTCGACGTCCCCACACCCTTGATAAGATAATATCGGCTGGGCTCTCAAGGTAGTTTTGGAAGAAACACATACAACATTCATCTCCGTATTCGAGACCAGCAGCGGGATAGCCGTAGAAGGCGCATTGGTTCAAGCATGCTTCTACGGTATTATTGTTGGTCCATATATTCTGGTAAGGGAAGGTTCTATTCGCGCCCGGTTCCCTGCGAGACAAGTCCGTCAATTAGCCGAAGAAACAAAAATCGCATATTGCTGAGACATTTACTGCAAGCAGCCTTCGTATTGCCACAAGCTCGGGAGACTTGTGTTGAGTGGAACAGGGACAGGATACACTGTCACATTCCCGGTGGATGTGTATACCTGATATATGAAGTTCAAACATTATATCTCTTGCAGTGAATGTTAATAGGCTTACCGATAGCAAATTGGGACCACCACACGCTTCGCTGTTTCAAAAAATGATTTACAAATCAGAAAGACATAAGCGATATGAAAGCGAGAGCTCACGTTGCGTTACCACCACACGCCATATCACAAGCACTATCGTCAGTAGTGACTGCCCCGTTCACAAGGGCATCCGCACAGACTATGCGACGTGGTGAGAGGGAAGCCAAACGAATAAAACAACGCGACGACATACAACATTGAACGCTATACTCTATCCCTGCTAGCGTATAGTTTTCTGATGCGCAGCTTGCAATGCAAGACTCGACGGTGACATTTGAATTATCCGGGAGTTCGTCCGTCATGACACGTCCATATGCATTATCGCTGCATACTCACAGCAGTGAGCGATGTTTCTGAAGAAAGGAAGCAGGGCTTACACATAGCATGCAGCGTATTCCCAGGGCGAGGGGAGCCCGGATGTTACGGGATAGACTGGGGATGATGTTCCTCCGCCTCCGCCTCCTCCGCCGCCACCACCGCCGCCAGTAGGGCTAGTAGGGAGTGTGCCCGTGTAGTTATATATCTGATGGAGACGGCAGTAAATATGCACATCTAGATTGAACTGAATGACGACGCACGTTCAGCGCATTGGGCCCCCCACACGTTTCTGAGCTGTTTCCAGCACACGCCATGTCGCATGCACTAGTCGCGATCGGCACAGCGCCGTTATCCAGCACCAAGCCGCAATCTAGGGGGAAACAAGCGAGAAGTTAGACTTGGTTTGAAAGTGCGCCTCTGTTGGGGAAATCTCACAGCACTGCGTGGAATATTCCATTCCCGCTAAGGGATATCCGGCATTGTAGCACGCCGATGTGCACGATTCAGCGTCAACATTCCCATCGACAGCGGGAGAGACAGCGAGCGAGCGAGCGTTGACCGAGTCGCTAGTCAATGATTTGAGAGAACTGCAGCATCAATAGGCAAATGGTATGTACTTGTAACATCCGAGGGAGTCCCACAACCCCACGCTTGGAACGGCGACAGGCCCTGCGGGAGGTGATGCTCCGCTCCAGAATAGGCTAAGGCGATCTAAATGAATTGGGATTGTCAGAAGTTGAGATGGATGTGCTCGCCGATGATGCCAATGCTCACCTCCGGCACCGCATATCTCGCTCGAATTACCCGTGCAGGCCATGTCACAATCGGTTTCGTTGGCCAAGGTACCGCCATTGTCTATGCCGTTTCCGCAGTCTGTGGGATTGGGCGCCATGGGTCACGATAAGCCGATACCAGCACAGATGAAGCTTACAACACTGCGACGCATATTCCAAGCCTGCATATACGAAGGACTGTCCGACGCAAAAATCGATGCAGTTGACAATTGTCATGTTGTCCGAAGTCGAGGAAGGCCCTGTGAGCGTCCGGGCTGCGACGTCGTCACTGCGCCCCGGCTATGAGCAATGTCTCACATGAAAACTTGCAACAACAAACGTGTAACATCCTTCGTACGTCCAATTCCCGGGTGGATCTGGTGAGATGTATCCCCGTAGGAAATGGTGCCCATAGGACGCACGGACCTGTTCGAAGCAGCATGAGCGAACCTGACAGAACAGTCAGAGATCCGACGTACGACTGAGATTAGCGCGGCCAAAGCCAGCAGAGAATGGACAAGGACGGACATCCTCTGCACAGGTGGAGACAACGAAGTTTGTACTGCGCGTGCAGCATATATGTGCTATATGCGCCTTTTATATGTGCACGACTGTCCAGACGCGACGTCTCAGGCCGGGAAAAGTGGTTCGAGATTAGTCCTGCACGGCCGGATCGGAGAGCGCACTCCGTCTGCAACTGCGATCGCCTCCCCCCCACAGGACCGCAAGCAGCCAAGTACGGAACGCAACATACCTTTCGTTCCACACCCGATGTGGCTAAGATCATCTACAGGGAGAGCGCTGGCAAGCATCGGATCAGACTCTGGGAAAGTTTGTTGTTTAGAGGGCGTTGATCATGCGGGGCGCAGTATGCCAGGCACGACTATGTCCAAATGTGCAATGAATAACCGGCGAATGTTGAGTGCCACAAGGCTGACGCCATGTGCGCCCAAAGCAGGCACTGTACTGCACGTAACAGGGATGATCAAGCTGCCAGCGTGCGTCTCCGTAGATGTGGTATAGAGGAAGTCTGAGCGCAGACCGCGCCGTCAGTTGAGTGAGGCTGCAAGATGGTTGTGGGGAGATCCTCGCGGTAAACATTCCCGTTTTCCTGCTCCGTCCTGGTCAGCATTGCGCAGGCATTGGCGTAAGACTCGGAGAAAGACAGACGACGCTGCTCAGGGCGAACCGTCAGAACGCCACTGGTTTAGCATTCTGGGCAAGGTATGTGGACTAGGCTCACCAGATGGCATCCGCCAAAGACACCAGAGATTCCGGAACCGGAGGCGAAGAGAACGTCCATCGGCATGTGTGGGGACCATGCCCGACTTGCGATGTAACCCATGATCATGACCACCTGCAAGCCAGAGAGCCATATCACCGCAAAAGGCATCAGTTCTAGGTATTAGACTAAGGAGCATCATCAGAGCAGTCGGTATGAAAGGGAAAGGCGCCATAGGGATGATGTGGCAGACAGGAGCTGCAGACTAAGAGGGAGGTGCTGATGATGGGATGTGTCGTACTCAAGAGCCAAGCCAGACCAAAGGTTGCATTATGTATATATGCTGTTTGACATCCGGTTTTAAGCGATACGGGCATCTATCCCGCTAGGTCAATGACCCTAGTGTTCCTGGTCAAATTTTGTTCAGATTCGCAAAGGACATTCAACGCAGCCATAATGATTGCATACGCTTACCAAAATTCTGCTCGCCAATCGATGCATGCGCCACAACGCACGAACTTAGGCAAATTTCACTGTCGAGCAAAGCACGCTAGGTAATTCGGCGGGGATAACACCGAGCTCCTTTAGCTAAATCAATCAAGACTGGAAGCCAAGAGATAGAGGGTTGTAAGACGGTGATCAACCTCAGAACAGTCTCCTCCAAAAGTCAAGACGCTCACTATCATATGAATCGCCAAGACGCAGAGGCTGGGACCGTAGGACAGGCATTGACAGCACGCCTGATGGATGGAGGCGACGGCCTCTCTAGCCTTGTCTTGAGTTGCGGTACTCTGATCGCGCGTTTCAGCCAGAGCACAACATCAGCCACGCTCAGTGCCTGGCGGAGACTTGTCACGGAACTGATGCCCCAGACAGCGGGGTAGGACAACGTCCAGAACGTCCATCTGCCAAATACCAGGGCGCCATCTAAGCGGTACCGTAAAAACCACCCCGCAACTTGAGCCTCAGCCCCCAACATACAGACGGAAGACCAGTCCGAGATACACGATAAATTAGCTGGAGAGGTCCGAGAGATTGAAGTGGCCGACGGCCTGTCCAAACTGCACCTTGACGAGCGGCTCGGAGCTGGAGAGAACAAGTTGACTTGGCTGTCCCGTGAGCAGAATAGATACTTTCTCCATCGATTCATCCTTCGCTCTTGCAGGCTTCGGACATCCGTATCTGACAACTTGGCACACGGACGCGGAAAGAGGGAGCCAACCCTGCAGGCTGTCCAAGATGGCGGATATCTTGTTCCTGGTATCGTGTACATATACGTGAGCTCAACGTCCGAGCTCGACACGATGATCACATACACCTCCGTATCGTGCAAAGTTCGCTGTACGAGCCGCCTCGGGAGAAACGCGCAGGGTGACCGGTGATTTGCAAAGAGAGATGTGTCACTGCGCTGGCCAGTCGGCGAGTGCTGCGGGTGGTATGTATGGCACCTAGGCGGGTTTCGTTTCTGTACCACTCCGAGCCAGTGTTGTGCGAGCTGCCATCGGTCGCAGTATACTCAGATACGAGCTGATGTGCAGATCGTTCAATGGTTCCGGTCAGTTCTTGCGCGGCGGGTGTGCGGTTTGATGACACCGGGTCTGTCACAGTGGCTGGTCACACAACAGGTATTCCTATGGCATGTTTCTTTTGACCAATCCACCCCTCCACAACAAAATCTGTTGGACTAGCCTTCTCCTGCACACGTTATCAGTCCCGGTCACCGTCAGTCGCCAATGATGTTGACGAGCCCTCAGAAACTAATGCTTATTCGTGGAACATAACAAACTACACTACACGATGCGCCGCAGAACACCACTTCCCCGAGTGCACCAATCCTCTAGTCCAGCTCGTCAAGCAATGCACGCACCACAAGGCTGCGAGTGCGATGCCAATTTTCGCGGCCGCCACCGTCGCGGAATTGCTCGATACCGTTATGGTAAACCCACTCTGCTTCATCACGGCCAGATTGCTCTCCATCGCCATCTTCAGCAGCTCTCCTCCTGTTGTGGCGCTGGTTTGGCAGGGGCGGGGGCGGCTTGGTACTGTAGTGGGGATTAGGCAAACGTGGCATATTGAGGCGTGGGTCTCTCATATTGTATTCATAGGGTGACGGTGGCGGTTCACGATATAGAGGCTTAGGTGGGAGTGCGGGTGGGAGTGCAGGTAAGGGTTTGGAAGTTAGACTCTTATAATATCCAGCTGGCTTAGCTGGAACTGGGGGCGCTGGGTGTGAGTAATCAGCCCGTTCTATAGCTCTACAATCGCCAATGTCATGAGTTACTATTACGCCACGGACGCTTAAGCAGACTCACAAGACAAGAGCGGGAGCGAAGACAAGAGTCCCCAATCCAACAAGGACTGTCGAGGCGCGCATTATAATAACAGTCGTAAGAAGTGTGGTTTGTCGTGAATCGCTAACGAATGACACAGGTCAAGCTGTGACCAGGATTTCAAAAGTTGCAGGGTAATGGAACATGGTAGGAGACTTACTATCCAGTACCTGACCCGAGGGACTCGATGGCTGAGCACAGATCAACTGAGGGCTGGAGAGCATTGATACAGACTCCGTGGATGCCTTTTATGCTGGATCTAATTATTTTTCCAGCCGAACACTATCGGTTTCGGGTAACGATCAAATACACCTCCTACAGATCTGAGTCCCAGCATCGCCATAAGTTGCGCTTGAGAGCGTCGAAAGTAGGGAAGTTCAAAGTTGACACAGCTGGGCTCGCAGAAAGTTCTGCGGCGCAGATGCATCTTTAGGCGCTGAATAAAATGCGAGCCCAAATGCAAAACTGCAAGAAAAGGTGCCCATGTTTCCTGCTTATCTAATGTCACACTCAGATATGCAGTTTTTATTCTTGCTTTTCTGAGTCACCATGATAAGGAACGAGCACCGCAGCCAAATGCGAAGTATGAGTTCTCTAAAACCGTGGGCAATATCCAAAGTTCGAGTAGCGGACATGCGGTCGAACACAGCTCGCAGGAGGTAGCGAGTTTTCATTGTGTTCGGAGCTTAAACATTATGAGCGCTCGACTGCCAAACATGGGTGATCCGTAGCTGCTGATTGGCTGAACACCCATGTTTGACGGATGTTGCCACCATGTTCGACCAACATGTTCGAGCTCCGAGCATGATCAAGAAATGCTATCTTCAGTGACCGATGTTTTCCCTATGTTTGGCGCTCCACCTGTGGGCATTTCCCGCAGAGATAAGGGAGTCGATGTCACACAGGAAAGTCAGTGTGACCGCATTTTCAACTCGCAGCTCCAGAAACTCGCATTTTCTCTAGCGCCCAAAGGCGCATCTGCGCCGCAGAATTTTCTGCGAGCCCAGCTGCGTCAACTTTTGAACTTCCCTAGTGAAACGCAGTCGAAACGCTCTTAAAAACCAATGAGTTTGGTCGGACGAGGCCCGGATTCCCGGTAGAACCTCGGGCGGATCCAGAACCCGATATATTCTCAGGTTCGCACCACTCGCATCACCCATGATTTATTCAGATTGGACGATATGACGCGCAGAAGATCTCTGCGACCATGGGGAGACCATCCTCAACTAACAAATAGGGAAATTTTCAGATTAGGAGAGATATCCAGGTATTCAGATAGTCAGACTCCGTTGGGTCGGACTATTCCGAAGGAAGGAGAGAGAAGGGATTGCGTACGACTCGCGCGTTTGTTGAACCATGTTTCTCAAATTTAAGCTGCGTAAGAGGGCGATCATAGGCAGAGCGGTCGTGCATAGCACCAATGAACAACCAGCAGCCGAACCGGGTATGGAAGCTATGAACAGTACATATATTTGGCAAGACCAAGGTGAGTACTAGTCCCCGTCTGCCCGCAGTTACAAGTTTCACAGCGACATTTCGTTTAAATTTGTGGTACACCCGTCAATCACAGCTTTTAACTCGGAATAGTACATGAGTGCAACACAGCTATATTTGTGTCCAACGCAAGAGCTCTACAGTATAGATTCGGTAACCAGCGCTATTCAGCACCTGGCATGCTTCTTCCCTCCGAGTCTCAAACTTCCCTCCCCAGTGCGCTTGGGGGCTCATCCAAACCTACAGCAGCCTCCAATGCCTCCTGCACTACCCCAAAGCCCCTGCTCGCCGTCGACGCAGGCGCGCTCTCCGCATCCGAAGCCGCCGCGCCCGACGGATCCACCACGTACTTCACCGCGTCCCTGCATACGTCGTCAGCCAAGCGGAACATGCGCCCGGACGCCGTACGTGCTCACCCCGTCTCGTGCGCCGCGACGGAGGAGAGGCTTGCGGGCGGAACGTGCTCGCGCACCGCATCGGCGATCGCGCGAGCAAGGTCGCCGCTGGGGAGCCCGAGTGCGCGCGCGAGCTCCTCGATGCGCTGCTCCACGCCCGGCTCCCCCACACCATCTGGGCGTTGGTCCGTTTGCGCCCACGCGTGCTGGTCGGGGTGCGGGTTCTGCTGCGCGGGCGGCCGGCGCCCGAGTGCGAGATTCCACCAGCCGCCGACGTCCGCCTTCCACTGTGCGAGCCGCCATGCGTAGAATACGACAAGGAGCGTGGCGAAGAGCGCAAGCAGGTAGTTGAAGCGCTTGAGTGGGACGTGCGAGAGCGGCGGGGACACGGAGCGAGTCGCCTTTTTGCGGTCGCGCGGTGGGGGGAGGTCGGAAGGGGAGCGGACGGCGCTGTCTCTCGAGCGAATGTTTTCCGACATGTCGTTTGATGAAGTAGTGTGTGTTCTGCGTTTCTGTATGAGTAGAGTGCAGGAGGTGCTTGAGTTGTGCGAGTGCGAGGAGGATTGAACTTATATGTCGCCTGTCATGCAGGGGGCGATGACGTCACTCACCCGCACTCCGCCTGCACGCGCCACCGACGCGTCGCACAGGCGCGTGATCGTGTCAATCAAGAAATAAATAGTATATGCTTGTAGCCTGGTTTCTTGAGCATTGTCTTTAATGTCCTGTCAACCAGATCCTGAGATATTTACAAAGCAGACAGCCGAGTTATTTCCTTGGAGCCCACGAATACAAAGTTCAAGGTCCGAATCACGCGTGAGGCCAGAAAGAGCCGAATTGACATACGTCAAGGGAAAGGATGTAGTATTACATCCTTCTTCGTAGCACTTTATTGCGGCACTCGGTTGCAAGTACATTAGGTGGGCTTCGCCCAGTTAGCATAATGCAGTGCTATGCACCCGTCATCTATTTACTACTACTACTACTACTACTACTATTACTACTACTACTACTACTACTACTACTAGGGCAAGTACGCAGTCATTCCGCACTGTCTCGCGGATATTCAAGCGATCGTTGCATGGGTAGTTCTATATCCCTCGTCTGTTACTCGAATGTAACACGGCGACACCCCTCGACACGAGTGCACGACCCAAAGCGCGAAACGAAAAAAAATAAACGGGGTATCGCTGCCCACAGCTAATATATTCATAAGCAAGCCCAGGACCGTAGGGATACACATACACACACGAGACAAGGCAGTCTGACGCGGACACGGGTGGACAGATCGGCAAAACAACGCAAAGCGGTACATACACAAATTCAAGACAGTGGTATATGGGGCGAGACGAACAGCTCAGGGGGGAATACCGCGGACGGACCGGGACCGACGAGTGCGGTGATACAAATACAAGTTCCAAACGCGCGCCGAAGGCAACGAGACACGATGACAAACACATCACACACCTCACGCACCTCATGCCCCCACATCCTGACCTGTATCCCCCTCCATCTCGCCCTCGCTCTCCGTTCCTGCTCCATGTCCAGGTGGTGGCGGGGGAGGGGGGTATCCATAGTGCGGCCACGGCACGCCTGTGGGATACCCCGCATACCCATGAGGAGGAGGCGGTGGGTAGTACGCAGAATACACCGGTGCACCTGCATACGTCGACGGGTCCGGGTATCCCACATACTGCGGCGGTGGGGGTGGGGGTCCGTGTGGTGGCGAAGGTGTGCTTTGGTGTGGCGGGGTAGGCGACATTGCAGGGTATGGCCCGGAGGGGTACATTGGTGGCAGTGGATAGCCTGGATAGTAGCTGTACGGCGCATAGTGCGGCGCGACCGCAGCTGTCTCCGAGCCAGGGTATGCAGGTTGAGGTTGGTGCATGCCCACGGGAAGCGGTGGGGGCGGTCCTTCATCTGTCGGGCTCTCTGGGCTTGTCGTAGCGGCGGCATTTTTGCCTTTGCGAGAACGTTTGGGGGCGCTACCACCGTATGGGTCATATCGTTTGCCGCGTTTTGACGAGCTGGACTCTACGGGATCAGTGTACAGAGAAGAGCCTCCGAGTGGGGAGGGAAGAAGGGTTGGAGACGCATCCGAGTCGTCGGCCTCGCCGCGGTAGCGAGGAACGCCGTCAACGCCAATCTCGACTTTGGGCGGGTTGCGGAAGTGTGTCTTGTCGAGGTACTCTGGGCTGATATCCAGGGCAGCGAGCTCGGGCAGTGTCGATGGTGCACGCAGGCGACCCTGTTCGACGTCTTCAATCTTATAATATGAGATGAGGTGCTGGGCGACGCCCCCGATTGTCAAAGAAAACGTCTATTGACAGAAAGCGATCAGATCCGGCACGTGTTCGAGACGGAAAACGAGACAGTCACCACGTACTTTCTTCATCATTCCACCCGGCTTGAACTTGTAGCTGTTCGTCAAGCTACCGACGAGACTGCGTTCGCGCTGGCGGTCGGCGCCAGCCAAACGATGTGCCTCGCTCTTGGGGCGACTGAGGGTCTGTCCCTCTGGCTTGACGCCATCGGGGGAGTATTGCTCGGTATCCTGTGCCTGGGGGACGACAGGCTGCTCTGCACGGGCACTCCTATGGCCAGCACCACGTTTCTCCGTCTCGCGGTAGAGGAGGAAGTTGCCTAGAATGCGGCTAGGACTCCAGAAGAAGCCGTCCGTCCATCGTTTGATGCCGCTCTCGTCCTCGTCAAAGACAAAAACGGAGCCGGAAGTAATCATCTTTCGCTCTGAGTCGACAAGGCGGCGGGTGACGCGGGGAATGAGACCACGGCGAGCGGCCTCGAGGATGAGGAGGGCGTCACCGGTGGTCTCTATCCAACCAGTCCAGGGCGGCTCAGTCCAGGTGTTGGAGTTGCTGTCGTGCGACATGAGAAGAGCCTGCGGTTGGCATTGAGCGAGGTGAAAACGCGGTGGGCGGCATCGAGGAAGACAGTGGCGAGAGGGAGAGACGAGTTGTCAGCAAAAACACGGACATTAAGGTTAGAAACAAAGTTGACTGACCGCGAGTAAGATTTCGTCGGGAGTGGTGGTTGGCAAAGAAGGTTCGTGCCCCGCCCGCCTGAGCGCGCCACAGGAGGCGAGCGTGGGAACGGTCTGAATCTGCTCGACGCTGCTGAGTGCGAGTCTGCGTCCGTCGGGGGGCTGCTGGCCGTGCTCGGCGTCGACGACGGCGACAATGGCGGGCTGCTCTCTGGCAGAGTCGGAGTTGGGCTATCGGAAAGGCGCACCCAGGCGGACTATGCGGACTATCTATTGCTGCATCAGCGGTTCTTCGCCTTCCAAACTCGTCCTGGTGTGGAGTCCTATCACCCTTCCACCTGTTCGTCTTCTGCGTACGCTCTCCCGCTTTTCCATCCATCTCTCCGCCTGCCTTCAGACACCTAAGGTCGCTGCCGGCGACGCTGAACTCCCCTTCGAGCGAGCCCGCTGTGCATAATGAAGGTCCGACCCACATCCAGAAGCTCCGTCTCGAGCGGCGAGCGTCCATGATAGCGGCCCGATGTCGCCCACGGTCTGTCTTCTGCCGTGGATGGGACCATCCCTCTTCTGCTGCGATTAGCTTTCTCAGCACATCCCAGGCCTCTCTCGTGATTGTCCAATTGTGCATCCTACCCTCTCTTCGTCCTTGGCGCCGCAGTTCTCTTCCTCGCCAGCGAGTACCGAGACCATCTTCTCTTCGCGTGCACGCCCGTCGCGAGGTATGTGCCCACTACCAACAGCCCACCCATTGGAGGCGCCACGTGTGTACTGACCCTCAGGTGTTTAATATTCGACGTCCAGCGCTGACATCTCGACACTCGGAGGCAGTCTTGCGCGACCACATGAGCGGAGCAACAGTTTAATCATTGGCACAGGCGGCTCGCCCACCGCACCATACATGCGCATCTGTTCATCCATGGGATTCGAGCGGTCTTCGTACCGCCCGAATCCAGCAATAGTTCCGATGCTGCCCTGTTGATATGTCCTCCATGGATCACTGGTGCTAGCTTTCCTTCCATCGCTCACACCCCCACAGACCTAGTGAATGCATCGCCGCTCTACGCCAGGTTCTGGAGCACGTCAGTGGTGTGTACCGGCTGTCTTAGACATATCGGGGGGGGGGAGACGATCGCCTGCGGTTCTGTAACGATCTAACGCGCGTGAAGAACGTCGTTCTGCAACACGTTGGTCCTCCGTGGTGGCGCGGTATATCGAGGTCTAGTCTCCTCGGCTTCTCCGCGGCAACACTGAGATGTCTTCGCCTCTTCGATTCCTCCAGTCCGAATGGTTATCGACCGGGTCTTCGGCCCTCGTGTGTGCCTTCCAGCGCCGTCTATCGCTGCTCGTGCCTAGGCTCGTCACTTGCATATCCCGTGATAGTGATACGCAGCACCACACTCTGCACCTCTTCCTTGGAGAGGTGCAGGCAGGGATCGGCTTACACGTCAGAAGGGGGCTGTGAACGGGGTATCCAATACTGCGCGTCCTATTGGACCTTGAAGGGGTCCCTGAGGGCACGGATTGACCGATGTTACCAATGCGTATCTGCTGCGCACCGTGCGGCCTGTGACAGTCAATCCGCTAGCATTGTTGGTGGGAACTGAGACCGCAGAACAGTTTTATGACTGTTTGAACCGAGTAAGTTACAGCAACGTTGGTGAGTGTAGTAAGAAGCAATGATGATGGTAGTGCGTTTTCTTATTTGTCTCAGTCTACTTTACGATGTACATAGCTTGTTGTCAATGCGCTCGGCAAGCTGATTGTACCCATTATGCCGCCCTCCGTCTCTCTGGGGTGCTCGTCGCTGGTTTGTCTCTAGATCCTCTGTGATATATCCAAGCAAGGGTTGTTAGCAAGCATGTGTGCATTTGGGACTCAATAGTCACGGAGCGAGTCGGCTCGAACTGGGTTAGTACCTATAATGAAATGTCATTTCCGCGTGACTCGTTCAGTCTTGCCGGAAATGAGTAAAATTTGTTTACTCAAAGTTCGTGACATAGTAGAAGACAATGTTTACTTAATGATTAGACTCACTCGAATGGACTCAGGCTGAAGACACTCAAATACTTAGTTGAAGCTGAATAGACTTTTTTTGCTCCTTGCACAACCTACATGCCATGCGGGCACTTTATCTTATCATATTACCCCTCAGATGTATTCAATGGAGCACTATTAGGTAGGGGATGTTAATTAACAGCAAACTGATCAGCACAGACCCTCTCGGACATCCGACAATCTATCATTTTTTCATACTTCGGAGTAGCCACCTCGGGATTTCGATGGGGCTTACCTTGATAATCCCCGGTGCGCACGGGTTTGATCTCTACCACTTCGTGTTACTAGCTGACTGTCTCGTCGAGTATGCAGTTTCTTAATATAGAGCAGAGTCGGCATAAAAGCTGTTTACGGACAGCAGTATTCAAGTTGATTGTTATCCTCCGACGTGCTCCCATCCCGATTTCCATCCCCCTACAGACGATACAGCATGACGTTCCCTACCCGCAAGATCGGTCAGCACGACGTCTCTGCTGTAGGCTACGGCGCGATGGGACTGTCTGCGTTCTATGGCAAGCCGCTGCCAGACGAGGAGCGTTTCAAGGTGCGCGCATAGCCAACTCCATGCTTCTGCCCATCTTCATTGGCCCTTCCAACTGCGTCAGGTGTTGGATGCTGTCTACGAGAGCGGCTGCACGATGTGGGACACAGCCGACGCATACGGAGACAGCGAGCTCCTCCTCGCACAATGGTACGTGCACTGCACACGCATGTTGCACTATCTCTGACCGTCCACTACAGGTTCAAGCGTACCGGAAAACGCGACGAGATATTCCTCGCGACAAAATTCGGGCTCTTCTCTGGCATACCCGGACGTGCTGCTAACGGGGACCCCGATTATGTCCACAAGGCTTTCCAAAAATCGATCGGCAGATTGGGCGTGGACTCAATCGAGTTGTACTATTTGCACCGGTAAGTGATCTTACCATGTCATCCTGTCTGGCGCCTCATCGCTGAGCAGACCTGATCCCACCGTGCCAATTGAAAAGACCGTCGGTGCTATGGCTGAGCTCGTAAAGTAAGCACCGTCCTCGCGGTGCGTCACGACTCCCCCAGACTGACTCCACCGACTCGTAGGGCCGGCAAGGTAAAGTACCTCGGTCTCTCCGAGTGCTCGGCCGCTACCCTGCGCCGCGCACACGCAGTGCATCCGATCGCCGCGCTGCAGGTCGAATACTCGCCCTTCACCCTCGAAATCGAAGATGAGAAAATAGCGCTGCTCACGACGGCGCGGGAGCTAGGCGTTGCGATCGTGGCGTACTCTCCCCTTGGACGGGGCATGTTGACGGGACAGTATGTACGTGATCCGTAGACGCGTTCGAGCGAGACGAGGTGACGGCTCATGGACTCTCCCTCTCTGCACAGAAATCCCCAGACGACTTTGAGGATGGCGACTTCAGGAAGATGATACCCCGGTAGGGCGCTTCGATTTTGTCGTCGGCCAGGCGGGTGATTTCAGACATACAGCTTCTCGAAGGAGAATTTTCCCAACGTTCTCAAGCTCGTCGACGGGTTGAAGCAGATCGGTGCAAAGCACAATGCGACGCCAGGTCAGGTCTCCCTGGCGTGGCTCCTCGCCCAGGGCGAGGATATTATTCCTATTCCTGGGACTTCGAACATTGCTGTCAGTGTTGTTTTGTCGCACGGCACTTTTTTTTGCTGATCACTGTGAACGCAGCGATTCAAAGAGAATATCGGTAGCGTGCAGGTCACACTAACCCCGGATGAGCTGCGCGAGGTCCGTGAGATCGCTGAGAGCGTGTACGTCCATGCTCCTCGGTACCCTACCACATATGCGTCGCATGCTGCGTTATTGTTTGGGGATACACCGGCATTGTAATTGGGTCGATCTTACAGTCTTGTAGCACCGAGAGAGAAGCGGCCATTGTTCACGAGAGATATGCATTCGCGCTACTTTTCAGAGCGCGAACGTTCGCTGCTTCCAAATCGATGTACTTGAAAACAGAGAATCACTGCAAAAATCCACATGAATGATTGGCGAGTCAAACCCCGAGTCTGACATACTGCGATCCGCTGGACACCACCCTTGGCTTCTCAATGATTGTAATGAATTGTGTCGAGGGGACGCTAGAAGTCGCGGTCACAGAGGTGCATCGGGCGATTGAGGAGGAGGAGGAGGAGGAGGAGGAGGAGGAGGAGG